CATTAATGGGTTTATATAACTCGAGACCAATACTGTAGAGATGAGTGCCGGCGCTTGAAATGCAAACACTTTTCGGCAAAACTTTATTCACTTTAATAGCATTGGATTTGGGATTCACTTTCATTTTAATACAAAACAATATAAATTTAGTTTATTATTTAATTTATTCTAATAGTAATATTCTATTAGTAATAAATATATATTTTTTATATAATTTTCCAAAAAATTTACTAGTTTACATTAGTATGATAAAAGTACGGTATAAAATATTTTATAATTTTCATATAAACCATTAATATTATAATATGATAATTATATTACCGTTATTATTGCATATATTTTTCGTACGTTAACATTTGTTAAAATAATTAATTATATTAACATTAAACATAATATGAATACATATATTAATAAAGAATATTTCAGAAATTTAATGATGAAAATAATATATAATTAACATTAAATGTTGAATTTTATTCATTTAGAAAATAGATTATATAAAATAGATACCATATTTAAATAATGGTATATTATTTAATGTTCAACTTTATTTATTGATACCGAAAATTACTAAATAAATATAATAATATCTGATATTGATTTAGTGCTGGCTCATATAGTATCTACATTGTAGATTGTCAGTTGAATAATTTTCACTTTACTAATATCACTTTATGTATCACTACCAATATTTTGTATTTGTAATTTTCAAATTTCAAAATTCAATAACATTCAGTATTTATGTCATATTCATAATCATTATGATATAGTGTATGCTATATACTGCTAATTATAATTTTATGTTCTATGCTTTGAATAACTCAAATTGTTAATTGTTATGTTTATGATTATATTAGAGTATTGAATGTCATGTAAATAAAGCAAAACATAAATATTAAAAATGTAAATTTATTACAATTTTCATAGCAATTCACAAAAAAGTGTCATTTTGCGAATCAAATACATCCATTTGCGCACATCACGACTCATACAAGTGGTTATCCTTAATATACTGGACTACGGGGTCGGGCACTAAATACCGGATACTATCCCCAGATTTAATCGCTTCCCTCACCGCCGAAGAACTCACGGCATTCGGGATCTTCTCCTCGACTATAAATATATTATCCTTATATTGCTTAAGAATATCCGCTTTGGGACTCTTCTCGAGCGTACGCCACGGATCTGATCCCTGTCTGGTGATCACCACAAGTCCATAATCACCGCAAATACGGTGGATATCCTCATCCCTCCAGAGGTCGGGCACGTTGAACGTCTCGAAGAGGTCGGCGCCGCACAAAAACATCAGCCCTACGCCCGGCGCTAATTGGCTCTTATAGTAGTCGAGCACCGGTAGCGTGCGCAGCCATTCCGGCTGCCGGGCCTCCCAGTCCGAGCACCGGACCCAATGTGGGACGCCATTCATGGGCTGTATGCCGAGCTCCACCATACGGCACCGGTGTGTGGCGGGCGCCAGGCGTTTGGTCGTCTGGCGTGTGGCGGTCTGGTAGGCGTCGTGTGTGGGCGATACGATGCCCTCGACCACCTCGTGCGGGGGCCGGGCGTGTCGGCTCAGGTAGTCTTTGGCCAATTCAAACATTCTTAAGTGCATATGAGTGATGGGGTTGAATGAGCCGCAGTTCAAGAGTACGGTGCGACGGGTCAGTCCATCGGTGGTCGACATGACGGCACTGGTGGTCACTGGGGAATGGGATCATAGGGTTAGGTATAGAGGTATGGATGGAAAGGTAGGCTTATTTCGCGTACTTACGTAATGGTGCCAAAAGTACTAATGTTTTGCACTTTTTATCGCGATTTGTGCCACAATTTGGTGATTATTTCTATGGAAACCGGTGTTTAGTACGTGAATTACCTTGATAAGTACTTACGTATGATTGGTGTTATGGTGTAGTTATTATTATATCACTTATGGCTAAGAATTTATAAGTTTTGTGTAAAAGTTTTTACAGAATATTCTGTGATATTCTTGTCGGCAAACCACTCACACATTCACGTAATGTTTATGTGAATTCTTGCTTACAGTCACTCATAGATGGCATTATAACTACAAAAACTCACACACCGTTACATAAAATAACTTCTCATTCAACTCCCTATTAATAAAATCTATTGTTTTCCCCATAGAAATACCTGTTATTATACCAAAAATTAACCCCTATTTTACTATAACTCTATATGTGAATAAAATATAATGATTTTGAAACCAAATACATGTTTTTAGTTGCCATAGCTTAACATAAGGCCCCAAACAGTGCATTAGTAATGCGGTAATCAATTGAGTCGCTGATTGGTTGTTGTGATCACGTGTTTGTCATAACTATTGCCAAAACATTTGAGTTACGAAAACAACATATGATTTGAAAGTGCAGTCAAAGTGTGTCTTAAACTGTGATT